GTTGGAACTAGATGGTCTTTAAGGTCCCTTCCAACCCAAACCATTCTATGATTCTATGATTCTCCTCATCTTTCTTAACCTGCTGCTCCACCTCCTGCATCAGCGTTTCTGTCTTCAGCCTCATCTGACCCAAGGGCAGAGCAGTGTCTCCAGGAGGCACTGCAGGCTCTCGGTGGAGCCTGCAGCACTCAGGTGCCCTGCCTTAAGTACTCGGTGGAGTGTTTCCTGGTTTTTAAGCCACAGGCATTTGCCCCTGAAGCGCTGCAGCTGGGGTATGCTGTCATCCGGGGCGAGCTCCATGGCTTTGGCCAGGAGTTTCATCCACCAAGAACGGTTCTTGCATGGCGTCCACCCAAAGTAAGTAGAGATGGGGTGGACAGGAGAAAACAGAGGCCGGTGGCTGCCTCTGAGAATCCCCAGGATCTCTGGGGTATGATGTTGCTCACCCTGTTGACCTTGGCTGTAAATTTGGTTCCTGGTGATCACGGGGTCCCTGAAAGCAACTACCCAGCCACTCCCCCTTCCAGGCTCAGTCTCAAGACATGGGAGCAGCATGGCCTAATGTGTTGAGAGGCCATAGGAGTGCACCTGAAGGGCCCAGAAAACAAAAGCCTTTTTCTCCCGTCGTTCCAGCTTTCTCCAGTCCGATCTGGCAGGCAGACATCACGTGGCACTCGGTGACCAACCCCACGCTGCACTTTTCAGCCTCCTGCCTGGAGCTCAGAGGAAGTCCAACAGCTCTGAAGAGCAGTTGTAAACCCACATTCAAGTACTCTGCTAGGGGAGGAGATTTCACTTCACTGAGCCTCATTTTAGGAGTTGTGTAATCCTGTTTAAATATAAGGAAGAATGACTCCTTATTTTATTTAAAAATGGGATTTGAAATAATCTTCATGATTCTTCTATAACAGGAAGTACTGATATGCACTCCTGTTTAAAGGGGGCCAGAAATGGGCAAAATCAAGGGATTAAAGGGCACATTTTTGATGCACCAGAGTGATTTAGGAGCATTAAAGTCGTTAAATAGTCAAGCCAGTTCTGCGAGGTGACTCAGCATCCTGTGGAACAGAGGGATCTGGGGATGTCCCTCAGCAGCTCAGACCCAGAGCCGGGATCTGACCTGGATTTCCTGGCTGCCAGGTACCAACTTCCCTCCCAGACCAGCCTTCAGTGGTTTTGTCAGGCGGTTCCTTCTCCCTGCGTGTTTCTCACCACCATTAACCGCGCAATGCAAGCGCCGTCTGGGAGAAGCGCGTGACGGGTCCCCGTGGGAAGGGGACCTACCCACGCCTCGAACACCCAGCACGCTGCGCTGGCCCCGATGAGGACCTGCCTGTGCCCGGGGACAGTACGCCTGCCAGCTGAGCCGCAGGTCCCGCAGGACATCCAGTGCCATGCTACGTATCCCTTTGGCCACCCCCTGCTCGCCCAGGAAGTGGGAGATTTTTGCTGGGCAGTGCAGGACGGGAGGGTTGTCTTTGGCTGTTTCTATCGCCTGTTTGAGCCAGAGAAGTGAACCACGTTTCCATCAGGGACTTATTGCCTGCTGTGCTGATCAAAGGGACAAAACCATCTTGGATTGATTCGTCCAGGCGGTGATTTAACCGGGAGGGTTTAAGGCTATACAAGAGACATGGTCTGCAGGGAAAGCTGATATCTCTTATTAAATCAGCAGAGAGGACTGAATGCGGGGCTAAGCTCGGGGGTTATGTGCCTGAAAGCCTCTCTCTGCTCCTTATTTTTTCCAGCTGTGCTAGGGGAATCTAATAAAGGTACTTCTGTCCCCGCAGCCTTTCACCAAACTGCTCACCCGCTGCTTTGCCGGGGGCTGATTTATGCGGTCGGGGCCAAACGCGTGGCCTGAGAGGGGTGTGTGCTACACGTGGCGGGACCGAGGGTCTCTGCTGACGTCTGGGACCTCCCCTCTTTGTCCTGGGGGATTTCCAGGAGGAAAAATGAGCGGAGGATCCATCCTGCGGAGGATTTGCAGTGTGGGGTCTCAGCACAGAGAGGCGGCACATCCCGGCTGAGCCTGGGCACGTTCTTACTCAGCTTTTGTCGCCCACAGCACCGACGCACACACCTGGCTGACTGACTTCCCCGAGTACTTTCATTCCCCCCGGTGTCACTGCTGTGCCGGCACGACTGCAGGACAATGTTTTCATGCCCGGTGAGGTGGTAGTTGCCATTTGCCTTAAACTCTCTCCTCGGGAAGTTACTGGGGGATGTAAAATCACTGCACATCCCCTGTGCCCTGGCAGCTACCCAAGGCGCAGGCACTCCTGGGATGCTTTCAGACAGCCCCTCCTGAGCAGATGGCACTTCTGAAAATAAACACCACTGGTAAGAATATAGTAATTAAATCAGTCAGAAGAAGGTGCATCATCATCTGAGGTTCAGGGCTACCTTGGATGTAGGTGCACACAGCATCCATCGGTGCTGGATGCTTTGCACCGTGAGTTACATGTGCGTAGGGACCAGAGGTGGGTTTTACACAGATGGGTTTGGGGTGCCCCTCCTGGAATAAGCCGGTTCCCCTACCTCTAGTGAGCACTGGAGGATGTGATGATTGTTGAAGCAGTGTCAGGGCCCTGCTGAAGGCAGGCGGCCTGCTCTGCTCCTCGCAGCCGGATCCCATCCAGCCTGCAACAGGAGCGGCTGGCATGGCTGAGACTGGGCAGCAAACCTGCTTTCCATACCAAACAGGAGCCCAGCACCAGGGAACCGGCTTCTCCAGGCCAGGCGTGGCCTTGTCTGAAACGCTACGGGCATTGAGGGGGGTGGTGAGCCTCCCCTGTGGAGATCACGGCTGTGGATCGCCTTGCCCAGACCCGCCAGCGCTCACAGAGGCAGCAAACACAGCGCCGCAGAGGCCACGAGCACCACGAGCATCGTTCTGTTGCCAAAGCACGATTGGCAGGCCGGGTTGTTGCTTTAAGAATGTATTTTTTAGCAGCTTAGAGATAATTTGCCCCTATGAAACCCTGGTAAACAGTTGGATCAAGCCCTGGTTATGTTGCTTTTGCCAGGCTGGGAACCTCCATTACAACCAGGATCCCTGTGTCGGCCCTGCTGTCTGCCAGCCCTGTCTGTTCCTAAGAGGGAACGCTCCTTGGGGAACTGGGATGATGGCTGCCATGGTGAGGGCTGCCACCGTCCCTGCAGTCCCCAGGGACCAGCTTGGGGCCCCCCAAGGACATGGGCAGCCAGGTGAGGCCACCAGCCAGGCCCTCCTGGGTGCGTGGGGAGAACTGGACCTAGCGGTGGAGCTCTCCCCACCTCCCAGATTGTCTGTGCCCGCTGGGAAGCAGCTTCCCGCACGGAGACTTCTTGCACAATGGTCTGGGACACCCAGCGTCAGGCCGGGAGCATCTCAGGGTGCAAGTGTGGACATGGGCTGCTCACGCTGGAGCTCGCTGGCACCTTCCCGCTGCTCAGCAAACACAGAGCAGGGAGGAGCGGGATGTGGAGCAGCAGCTCTCCCTGTGCCCATCTCCCCTCCTCACCCAGCTGCGGAGTCACGAGTGGCTGAGCTCCAGTCCTGTCAGTCCAGAGCTCTGGCTCTGTGTTGCAGGAGAAACACCAGCCTCCAGCTGGTCCAGAGCAGAGGAGGGCTCCCAGCTGTGTCACCGGCCCCATTCCCAGTTCAAGGAGATGTTGAGGAGGTGCAAACACCAGATAAGTCCGGATTTGATCCGCTCTCCATGCACGTTTGCTGCCTAGCTCCGTTCTCACTCTCCCTGCTCTCCTCCTGCAGCAGGAAAGTCTGGGTCTGGGAATGCATGACGATGTCAGGGACTTTCTGCAGGAGACACTGCCCTCCAGCCCCCGGGGAATCTGTGACACAAGGGAGCAGCGTTTCAGAGGTGGCCGCAGGGTATGTCACACCACCAGGCACGGTGCCTGGTGGCTGTGGGGCTTGGCTTTGGGCTGCCTCCGGAGGACAAGCCCTTTGCAAGGGTCAGGAACTGCCATGGGTGCCATCTCTTCCTGATGGGCTGGGGACTGTCTCCCTTGCTGAGGCTGCCCAGGGCCACCCGTCTCTCCCGCAGGACTGCTTCCCCTGCCTCGGTGTGTATGGCCCCTCCGGGGAACCCCTGCGCCCGCCTCAAGGAGAGGAACAAGCGCCCTCCAGCACGTAAGGGGGCACCTACCACCTGCAGCGCAGCATGGATGAGGGGCTGCGGCAGGCAGGTGGCCCCAGCCCTGCCAGCCCTTCTCGGGGGACAGGTTGAAGCCGGCCGTGGGTGGCCAGCACGCCTCGGAGGTGTGTTGCCCCAGAGGGGATTTCCCACTGAGCGTCTGTCCTGCTTGGGTTTTGCTCTTTGATTTCCCCCGGATCCTGGAAAAACACACCCACGCAGCAGCGTTTGGGGAGCGGGCTGTCTCCGTGAGCAGCGGTAGGGCTGAGCTTTCTCGGCACAAGAGCCCACGGGTGGCTGAGCCTCCTGTGACGCTCCCTTGCCCCGGCAGAGGAGAGGCACCGAGCCAAGCACTGGCACTGTCAAGGGTTTCCTGGATGTGCTGACATCAAAGGAGAACAGTAAGAAAGGCTGCTTCAGCACCCTGCCGAGGAACCTGCGCTGCCCCACGGAGAGGATCTTCTGGGCCACACTCAGCGAGTGCCCAGGGGAGGTGGGAAGTGGGAGCACGGACATCGGCACCGGCTGGTGGCACTGGCATCCACAGTGAGGCTGGGCTCTACAACCCAAAGCCCGCTCAGAGATCAGCGTACTCCAGCCAACCCCCATTCTGGTCATCTGCCAAGAGATTCGACAGAAAGTCCTACTGCCTCTGTACTGGGAACAAGGGGTGTGAGTGGACATGGCAGTGAGAGGGACACAGGAACGGTCAGGCTCTGAGCTTCCTCCATGGCCATTCCCAGCTCGTTACCAGCACCCCTGGGAGAGGACGAAACTTCTGAGCCAAAGGGCAGGCGCTCTTCACCATCTTCAGCCAGCTGAATGTTAGGGGTGTCCTCTGAACACAGCAGCACCCCTGCAGAAGTCCTACACCAGATCTGCGATAGAAGGGCAGACTGACCTCAGGAGGGGCTTTTCTCTCCCCCTTTATCAAGGAAACCTGGGCCCCTCAGCTGGATACCCATCCTTCAGAGAGATTGTATCCTCCCAGAAAGTCCTATTCTGCTGCTTAAAAGCCACTTTTTCCTCTAGCAGCATCAGCAGCACGTTGCAGAACTAGTGCAGGTAGGAACCCTTCCCTTAATACCCATTCCTGGAGCTGTATTCATCTCGGCAGCTTCCCCATGGAGAACCAGAACAAAGCTTAAAGGGCTCAAAGCAGACAGGGAAAGCTTTGGTCTGAAACAGTCCACCTTGGCTAGGGACGAGGAGCAGGCTTGCACGTGGCTTCTCTCCTTTGTCCAGCTGAGTGGAGAACAGGCAATTTGAAAGAGGTCAAGGATGAAGACATCGTCGTAATTGCTGGGGAATTCCAGAGATTACATTTCAGCGGGGAGGTTGTGACACGGCAGCCCTTGGCTACAGCTGGCAGCAGGCAAGTGGTGAGCGTGCTTCAGCCCGCAGAGCTGATCGACTTCTCTGTGGACTGCTGGGGTGGGCAGAACTGCTCGTGAAGAGGACTGGCCGGGCTAACTCCGACCAGTGTGTCTTCTCCTCGCTTTCCTGCGGCACAGGATCCGTTTGGCTAAGACGTGCCACAGGCTTTTGGCAACTGAAGGCTTGGCCACATGAAGGTACCACCTAGTTTTGCCTCGGGAAGCACATGAGACCTTCTCCTTCCAGGACCCTGTAGGTGTTCGTTGCTATGACATCACTGACCATGAATAACACCCTCAGAAAATGATACACGAGTCCCTGGACCGGTGTGACACGCAGTGATACCTCAGCAACCTGCAGCAGGATGCGCACTCGCTGCGTCTGACGGACAAGGGGGCTGTCAGTGGTTTCACACTGATTTACAGGAAAATCATCCCGAGCGGCTCCGGGGGACGGAGTGTGCGTTACTGACACTACAGGTGATGTGAGAAGGGATGATCGTGTAGTTAAAGCGCTGGATCGGGACCAATAAACACAACAGCCCCGCTGCAGGTTCCCTCTGTGGATGGGGAGGTTGGTATTGCCGCACCCGGCAAAGCGAGGAGACCTTTACGCTCGCCCTCTGCGTAGCAGGAGGGTTGTGGAAGTACTGGCTCTCCAGGCACTTCGCAGTTGCCAAGGTGGTGGTTGTATCTTGGGAAATGCCATTTGCCTGCAGCGGACGTGTAGGCAGTTTCCATGAGTTAGAGGAGGCAGCCTGGGAAGCAACTGCGAGGTGGATGGATAACCAGGCTGTCTGGACTCATTCCCAGTGCCGGCGTGGGGTTGCTCAAGGCTCCCAACAAAATTCACCTTCTCAGGTTCTGCCTCAGTTTACCCATCTGAGGAAGGAAGGTTGTTTTTTACTGCAAAGGGCTTTGAAATCACCAGCGTGAAAATCCCGCGAAGCAGTTAGGAACTACACTAATGAGAGACCTCGGGGGAGCCCTCCGCTCTCACCTCTGCTTGTGGCCAAGATGAGCGAGCTGCTGCGGTGGCACTGCGGGCTGGCAGCTCCACAAAAGTCCGTCTTCATCTCCAGAGGGTAGTTAGAAATCGGTCTTGGCTGAGCGTAACTCGGCAGCCTTCAGCAGGGCAGCTACGAGTTAGCTATCCTGTGATGGGGAAAGCATAGCGGAATCCAGCCTTCGCGACTGCCCAGCTCTGTTAACGTTGCAGTTCTAGGAGAAATAAAAAGGAAATCAGAACGGCGAGCAGGACTTGGAACTCAAACACATCTCTGATCACGTAGCACGAGCTCCAAAATCACTTTCCAAGCTACAGCTGTACTTTCAAGGGAATAGGCAGGCTTTTAAGAGCTCTGTTCACCTCTGTGCTCGTTAATTGCTAATGAGATTAATTCAGCCAGTGATTTGAACCCACTGAAAGGCATCTGCTTTCCAGTGAGCGGCTCAAGCCTGTTGCTAAAAACAACTGGAGTGATTTGATTTCTGCTCAAGGAAACGACTCCAGTCTCGCTCTGTGACAATAAACCACTCTTAGACAATCAGCAGTCTAATTTGTCTGTTGAGTAATTCATTATTTCTACCTTTGTCCTCATAAAACTGACATGCTTGAGGACACCAGGTACTGCCTGTCCTCCAAAGGGCGGTCTGCTGGCACGCGTGGCTCATTCCACGCTCAACGCTTCCATTCCAACGATGCTGCTCAAGGAAGTTGCGTGTATCGGTTGCAGGCACGGTGTTGTTACACAGCTGTAGAGCCCCAGGGCCACGGGTGCATCTCGACGGAGAGCTGGGTCCCAGAAAGCGACACTACGGTTACGAGCAGCGAGGGCTTCGGCGGGTGCCGATGTGCCTGCCCTGTGCCGTCTTCAGTGTGCAAGGACCGTCATCGCAAGCTGTGACGTAACAGTGCAAACGTTCACAGGCAACTGGAGGGAATTCGTGTCATCTTTCTGAAATCCACAGGATATTAAAACCTGAGAAAAGGGAAATAAAAGAGCTGTGTAACAAAGGACAGCCACAAAAACAGACTGTGAGTACACCGGCTCGCTCAGAGTTAACCTTTATGAAGTCTCATAGCAGTGTTTAGACCAGACTGGAATAATTAAATCTAGGTGTAATTACATGTTAGTTGTGGCTGATTAGGTATGCTAATTAATCTGCAATTATCCTTTGGTAGGGGAGATAATTGAAGACAGGTAAAACTGCAGTGACTTAAGAAAATCCTGATTGTTGTTCCAGAGAGGCAAGTGGAGGAGAAAGGAGAGCCCTGGAGAGAAGTGCCAAAGGCCGGGGAGCGTGCTGAAAGGAATGCTGGGCTTTGGCACCCGTGCAGATTCAGCGGGGCTGAATTTGGCAGCCTGGGTTTCAGGAGAAAGCCTGGGAGCTTCTCTCTGGGAAGAGAGCACTGGGAGAGGACGCGCCAGGTGTCACCAAGGAGGGGTAGGAATACCTCCGACTGAGCCTACGCAGCTGCTGAGGGGTTTTTTCAAGGAAGATGTGGATGTGAAACTCCTCAGGCTGAAGAGTGCACTGCACCTTCATCCTCGCTTCTGTGGCTGCTCATTCCAACCAGGGATTCGATGTACTAGCACAAAGTAGCTGCCTGAGTCAATGGCTGCAGCACCAACGCCCAAAATTGGGGTTTGTCTGCCTCAGACAAAACGTCACAGGGAAGGAATGAGGCAAGGGCGGAAAAGCCATCAGGATAATTGGCGTCATGAAGCTACGTGGGACATAACTGAAGGGTTCAGGCTCAGCCGTGGGTGTTTGTTTTGTGCAGGTGTGTCTTGGGCCAGAGATTAGGGTAGACTCACAGACTTCAAAGACATTCCTTGGAAGCTGTTTGCCGCACCAGGGTCCTCATCTCCCAACAGCCTCGCGTTGTCTCGGGTCTCTTACCCAGACAGCAGCTGTTCTGGGAATCCCTGACCACTCTGACACCACAGTAAGCGTGAGAAATGAGAAACGGAACTGTTGAGAAGTAAGTAATCATGAAAAGACACCGCTCTGAATGGTATGCTGGCTAGATCTTTATTTGAAACAGCCCGTACAGCCGAAACTTAAAAGCAACAGCAATTATGCATCTGCACGTGTGGGACGGATACGTTTGCAGTACCCAGTCACATACAAAGTTTGCCAATAAATTAAGGAGTGAAAAACCAAATACAGTGCGTATCTAGAGATCACCAGTACAGAAGTGAGAGAAACACAGCCGAAGTAGAAGTATTTGTACATCCTCTAGCTGTTTTAACATCGCCCTTTAAAAGCCAACCAAACACATTCTTGCTCTGTGCAGATCATCTTACAAGCACTGGGCTAAATCGCAGCTTTGCCCCAGGGACAAGGAAACCGCTCTCGCGGCAGGAGGGCAGGTTACACCCTGAGAACGGGCGTTTGCCTTCCTGCGTACCCCAAAGCCTGGAACGGTGCGGCAGATGCTCCCGGATCACTGACACAGCTCCACCTCCTGCCCGGCCCTGTGGCTTGGGCAGCGCTGTAGGCGCTCTGCGTCGGCTGCGTCTCCCCGTGGCAGGCTGTGCCTGCCGCCAGGCCCCAGCGCTGGATTTTAAGGGGTACCGTCTTTGCACACGATGTGCCCAGCATGCATCACTGATTCATCAAACTTATTCATGTTACTGCTTTATCATTGGTGTCATCTGGACCATAAACATCCATCTATCAATAAATAAAATCATTGGTTTAGCACTCATAAAATTGCAACGCCTCCCACTGGTAATTGTTTAAACTCTTCATGTTACCCCTGACGCAAGCCCCGAGAAAACGACTTTCTTCTCCCTCAAACTCGGTAAGGTTTCAAGTAACAACGTAAAGTACCACTCGAACAAGGCATGGGCTTGGTTTGGAACCACGTTTCTGGCTACAGGGCCAGAACGTTTCCACACTCACATGTGACGGTGTGAAGTCCGTGACTGTGCCGTTCTCACCAGCGAGCAGCAGGAGGGGAACCAAACAGTACGTACTACTGCCTTCCTCTCCAGGTGACTGAAACAGTCCTTTTACAAAGCCTATCAGTCTAATCCAGCTAAAATGAAAAGCAAAAATGGCACTCGAGTCAAAACCAAAGCCCGTGTGTGTCGAGAGTCACAGCCAGAGTTCCTAACAGCCACCTGCTCTAACAAACCTCGTATGGACAAAGACTTGACTTCCTTTTCCTACCGGCCAGGACAGGATGGTCTGAAACAACCCACGTCTTCCTCCAGCTTAGTATGTGTAAGGCACTAAAATTAAGCAACAACCAAAACCCCACATAAAGAAAATCAAGAAATATCAAAATAAACTGACCCACAATGAGTAAAATATGAAATTAATACTCGCCTATATGAAACATCAGCATTTTCTTCAGTAGCCTGCAAAGCCAGAACGTTGATATTTTGGGGCAAAACCCAATTCACCAATGGAAAAATACCTAAACCCTACATCCACTTACACTATATGATCAAAAGCAGTGCCTATGATCTGATAGGCACAAGTAAAAAGCATTTTCTTCACACCTCGAGGCTCAGTTTTGAAACTGAAGCCACAGTTTTGGGAGTTTAACTGCTCTCTTGAGATCATAGTACGGTACAACCCCAGCTGTACAGTGCCACACAACATCAGGCAGCGCTGTACAGCCGGAATATCACGGTACAGGTTACCAACCGGAGGCAAACATTTCGAAGGACGTGATTAATCTGACCATGCGTTCAGCTTTGGCACCTTTTTCTGAGCCCTCCTCACCATTTTCAAAAGTAACATTGAATAGAGTATACAACTGGTGTAATTCCAGTGTCTCCCTTTCCGATTATGTTTCTGATGCTTGGAAATAGGTGAACTCACCTATGCTACTGCATCAGATACAAAGGCTAGCACTTAAGATTTCTTAAAAACAATCACTCTTGAGTTTGGAAAATTGGTTTTTAAAACATACGAAGAAATACTAAACAGAAATGTATAAAGCAGGAATTCATATCTTTAAACATCAACAACAATGAGCTTATTTGGAGAGCAATAAAGCTTTTTTTTTAAAGGATATACTGACTAGCTATAGGTAAATTCATCTTTCCCTGATTGCTTGGTTAGACCACTGAGGCTCAGTGCCTCGCAGCTTTGCAGATTTTGTCGTACACTTCCGGAAAGGCATCCTTGCAATTCATTTGCTCCCTCAGCTTGTGGTATAACGAACCGTCAAACATATCCCAGAATTCCTCACGGGTCATATAGCAATCTGCATAGAGCATCTGGAAGCTGCAGAGGGGAAAAAACCAGAGACAGAGATTCAGTATTAACTGTGCCACAAGATTTGAAATACAATATTAACCAAAAAAACCCATTAAAAAACCCAACCAAAACATTCAGGCCCAGCTATGAATAGCAAATATTCAACCAAAAAACCCTGCAAGAATGCTTTTTTAAAAACAAGCAAATATAATTGTTCACATGGATTACACTGGGACACTTGGCCGATTATAGCTGGACATGAGCCGGCCGTGTGCGCTGGCAGCCCAGAAAGCCAACCGTATCCTGGGCTGTATCCAGAGAAGTGTGGCCAGCAGGGCGAGGGAGGGGATTCTGCCCCTGTGCTCTGCTCTGGTGAGACCCCACCTGGAGTGCTGCGTCCAGCTGTGGAGCCCTCAGCATCAGAAGGATACAGACCAGTTGGAGCGAGTCCAGAGGAGGCCACGGAGATGATCAGAGGGCTGGAGCCCCTCTGCTATGGGGACAGGCTGAGAGAGCTGGGCTTGTTCAGCCTGGAGAAGAGAAGGCTCCGGAGAGACCTTATAGCACCATCCAGTACCTGAAGGGGCTACAAGGAAGCTGGGGGGAACTTTTTACAAGGGCCTGTAGTGACAGAACAAGGGGTAACGGGTTTAAATTGAAAGTGGGAAGGTTTAGATTGGATATCAGGAAGAAGTTCTTCCCAGAGAGGGTGGGGAGGCACTGGGACAGGTTGCCCAGAGAAGCTGTGGATGCCCCATCCCTGGAAGTGTCCAAGGCCAGGCTGGATGAGGCTTGGAGCAACCTGGTCTAGTGGAAGGTGTCCCTGCCCATGGCAGGGGGGTTGGAACTGGATGATCTTTAAGGTCCATTCCAACCCAATCTACTCTGTGATTCTATGATTCTATGAAGTCTAGAGAGAACTTCAAAAGTTCGCCCAAATCAAGAGTCTGTGCACTGAAAACCACATGTAACCTAAATTCTCCCTGACAAATACATTTCTAACGGCTTTCGAAAGCCTGCTTTCCTTTTTCTTCCATTCAAAACCTTCCAATTCCACCTTCAAACAAAAAGGAAGCATTTTTTCTCCCTGCTTGTGTACGACCCGTGGGGGTACAGTCATAGCATCTCCTATTAGCCGGCGTCACAAAATGCATTCAAGGCAGATGTAGCAACACCGTCTCCGATTTTTTACAGTTTCTCCAAACTGGACATTGAGTATACAGCCAGGAAGGCAAAAGCCTGCCCTATCCAGGCTGAGAAGATAAATTTATAGTGTTAAAGAAGCGCAGCGTAACAAAGGTCCATTTTCAAAATAAGTGAAATCCTTATGTGGCTGTGGCCTCCTCCTTCCTTTCACGTAAAACACAAACTGTCACATAAAAGCTCTGTTGTTGCGTGTGATTACGAAACTGTAAGATTAAGCATTTATCCATTGTTCATTTCCCAGGAACAGGTAGAGAAGAGACAAAGCTTTGTTAGTAAAGAGCTTTACATTAAAAGCTTAATTTCAAGTAATTAGAAAAAAGCTTAAAATTCACTTTCAGTTGCTTTGTTCTCTGGCAGATGACTTACTGCAGCTAAAAGTCATTCACCCTCTCCAAGTCATCTGGAAGCAGACTCACTGCTGTCACTCACTGATATAATCACTGTTAGACCGAGAAGTAGGTCAAAACAGAAATGTGGATAAATTACACTGATCGTGTAAAAATACCGGGTAGTTGTTTTTTGTTCCTGTGAAACAAGTCTGTTACTGCCTCTCCGCTGACACTACTACAGCACGTGAGGCTGGCATGAGTCTGTGACAGATGGTGGGCACATATCTCCCGCCTACTGCGGTCCGGTGTGATAGGAATCAGGGCAGGGAAAAGGAAGCTATGGAAGTACAAGCTGTGTGGGAGGAAAGACTCCTATCACCGCAGAGGGACTGCAGGGACGAGTCAAGGCTGGCCTCCCTGTACGAGGACACAGTGGCGCAAGACCGGGGAAGAGCTGCAGCATGACTGCAAGGAGCAGAACAGACCCAAGGGCAGGCAGGGAAGCTGTCCAAACTTTTAAGAGCCTGTGGGATTCTTGGAGGGACTGCGGCCAACATAGCACTTGCTCTGCCCCTGCTCTGAACCGGCCTGGAAGAGGTCAGCCTCCGTAGGCAAGCTCAGCGGCGGACTTCCCTGGCCGGCCTTGCCGAGAGCCGTCACCGACCCATGCCAGCTCCGCTCTGGGACAGCGACCGTTTTCCACACGGTCAGCACAGACCTGCCGAGGTGCACGGATGGATTGTGTTGCGGCAGAGACTCTGCTCCCACAGCAGCCTGGAGCTGCGAGGACGTGAAGGTGACCTGGAGCTCCCCAGCTCCCGAATATGCCGTAAGAATTTCAGCCAGTGCACTCGTTTGGTTGGTTGGTTTTGCAATCCAATAATGAAAGCTTAAGCATATTTAAAAATCATAACATCAGAATTAGTCATTAAAATTAATTTTAGATTATTGTGGTTGCTAAATTATTGCAATATTAAAATGCTGTGGGATTAAATAACTATGATTAAACCACACAGGCATAAATTATATGGCACTATTACTGTTCTAAGGAATGGGATCCTTACCCATGCACACTTCTGACAAACTTTTCCATTTGCCTCATTGAAGCCCTGGCTTCAAATTGTTTCCTCTTGGGCTCTCCATAAGCTCCTATATCCACGTAGAGTTCTGCTTCATCCCCTTTTGGGTGGACCATACCAGGATTATTGGGCAATATGAAAGGACATAACCAAAGAGGGTACACCTGCGGAGGCAAGAAAACACTTTATCACTTGTTTTTTAACAAAACAAACCTTTAAGCTCTCTCTTAACAAAGGTGACAAAATGAAAAGCCATGAGGACTTCTTCCCAATTTGGGATTGAAACAGCTCTTCCTTTCCAACTGTCTTGGTTCTTAGCTGCACTTCTAATGACACAAAGAGATTGAGATGCTCAGAATATGTGCTGTGTCCTCCTAGAATTACATCTCCTCCCCCTCAAATATTTGAAATGAAAAAAAAAACCCCACCCAACTCATCCCTGATCCCAAAGCAGCAACTGAATACATATTCTGAGTAAAAGGAGAACAATGGGTTTTCTTTTCCAGGTCAGTCCAAAACTTAAATTGCCAAGTTTGTACTTCTCCTACTAACTAAAATAAATTCAGAAAAAAAAGCAAGAAAGGGAAATTAATTCCCACCGTTGGGGTTTAGTGAGACCGCCAGTCATTCCAGGTGAAAGAAAATCAGTTCCAGTTTTACTAAGGGATAAAATCTTTTAGAAGTGTTGGCTTTCTACTAAAGATGGAATCTCACTGGGTGTTTTTAATTCTTCTTTTTCATAAAACTGTGTTCATTTCTCCTGCAGCCTTGCATCACAGACTCGCAAAGCACAGCACTCCCCAGGATACAACGACCTTTGATGGAGACAGACTATGACGTCTTTGAGATCAACAGCCACAGTTCTTATCACACACGGGCTGAGATTTGCGGCATTTTAATAACATGTGTTCTTACATTAAGGTCAGCATGGAAGGTCTGGATAGATTTTTCAAGGCTCTTCATTGGGACCAACATGTCCTGTACGACATGGTGTTGCTCGTACAGCTTTCGAATCGCTTCTCCTTGGGTGAGTTTCAACAAAGAGATTTTTGGAGGAACCATCCAGCCAAACAGGTAACGGAAAACAGGGTTATTGCCAAAAGGAATGATGTCCTTTGAAGAGGAAAGAAAACCAGTTGGACTTAAGAATGTGTAAGTGAACCAGAAGACAAAATACTTCAGAATCCTCAGAGCAATATTAAGCCTGATTTTCAATAAATTTAACTGCTGATGCTGTTGCTAAACTACTCTAACACAAATATGAACAAATAAGAGAGGCTGGACTGAACTTAGCAACACAGCCCTGCCCAAGCCTCCTCGAGTTACAACAACTGATTTTCAGTCATATGAATCACAACATGCCAGCCCAAATACTTTCAGATAATAAAGCTGAGAGAACAGTAGGCTGTTATCTTAAAAGAGCTAAGGAAGGAGGGCATAAGAAGCTAAGCTTACAGAACTCTTGCAAGAATGAACACGTACACAATCACATCTTAAAAAGAATTTTAAAGCTGTAAAAATGTAAGTACTTCCTGCAGAGCCAACTCCTGTTTGACTTTTCTGGGAGCTGAGAAGATCCGGTATCTCACTCCAGAGATATAATGCCAAATACAGTTTTGTGTAAATGCACGTTATAACAAATACATTTATGAAATTCAAAGTAACGACCTTACTGCATAATTACTACCCTGAGTTTAGGCAGCGCTGACTGTCAGCTGTAATTTCACTCTGGTGTGTTTTCCACCACCTCGCTTTGAAAACCACTTAGTAAGTATAAAAGTTAATGCTGAAATATATACTTGAGGTCTAAATTCAGAAAAGCACTATAAGCAGAGATTAGGAGGTTATGACATAATGCCTTATATAGAGAGAATTGCCTTTGGATTTGTTTTGCCCAAATGCAGGACTTTTAAATTTGCCAGAAACATCACTATTTTTTTCTGCCACAAAAGACAGAAGTGTTGCAAGAGGAAGAAGGTACATTATTCCTGCCATGGGATAGAGCAGAGTACCTTCCTGCAGATGTTATTTTCATTTTGGAACTGGTCTTACTTGGAGCTCCCAGAAGATGCTGCGGGTATGTCTATGGTAATAGTGTCTTGAGGGAATGTATTCTGTTCCCGTCCTGTCAGCTTTCAAATACTTCTCCACATGTTTAAAGAACCACGGCTTGTAGTAGTTGCCAATTCTGTTTATCTATAAAAAAAACATCTGTTACTTAGCAAACACCAACACAGGTAACTTCACTCTACTAGGCAACAGTCCCCAAATTCCTTTAGTGCGAAGAATCAGTGTTATACACTCTGTGGCAGTTTGAACGAGACCATTGCAGAGATCCAGGGAGCCTTGGTTTCTTCACATGCATGGCTCCTTCTTACCTTTCTTGCCATTAAGGTTTAATTTAAATGAGGCTTGCTAAGGCTTGCCTGTTAAGAGCTAATGAAAAGACGACAACTGGGGCAGACCTGGATCCCTAAACCAGCCATCTCTCAATCCACCGTTAATCCCAAGTCTCATATGGCAGAGGAGAAACATCCAGGTTGAGGGATGGAGTAAACAGTTAGTACGTCCCTCCTGTGAACGTCCCTGATGTGTTTTACCAATATTAACTGTATTAAAAACTTGCTGGGAGAAGGGTTACCCTGAATAACTGCAGTTTAAACCAGCACTGTTCTATGTATGAGAAAAGATACTTCTCTTCCTCCTTAGCTACTGCAACAGAAGGCTGTGGACTAAATTATTTGCTAGAATAATGAAATCAGTGGGGCATTTCTTAACAGTTGAAGAGGTTTAGAGTACAGGCTCTGTTGTAGCAACAAAGAGACATATTTTAAAATAATCTGAGGGACCGATCTAACTTTTAATCCCGTGTCAAGTGATTGTTCCAATCTTATAATGATTCTGGGTTTAAATTGGCATATAGTACATCTTCAGGTAAACTTGTGGGCTACGGTTTTCCTTTGTAACTTCCCTTCAGTTACCTTGCTTTGCTCAGCTTCATCAGTCAAGACTCCTGTCATGATGACCGCTTCTTCCAGGGAATACACAAGTCCTTCCACAAAGCTGTTCTCCTTGTTCTTAGATTCTTCACTAAACTTCTCGCAAATCTTCTGCAGTCCTCTCACAGGCTCATAATGTATCTTGATATATTTCTTGGCAGGAATCATTTTTATTTCTGCTGCAACCAGGAAACCCAGAGTGCCACAAGACCAAGGCACTGCATAAAATAGGTCTGAATTTTCAGTCTGCAAAAAGTATGTCATACTAAATCACATATCCATACCGATTAACCGTCAACGACATTGTAAATGATAGCAAAATAACGTTTTGTCTTACTGGTGAACATCTCACAAGGCTTCCGTCAGCAAGAACGAGTTCATAGGCCACACAGGTATGTTGAAAAAGGCCATATATATGGGATGAAGACTCGATGCCAGTTCCCATGATCAGGCCACCTTATCAAGAGAGAACATAACAAATCAAATGAAACACACTCCAAAACGACAGTGGTTTAGGAGAACAAACCCCCGCTTTCAAGCTCAAGGCATGACTTTTAAGATTATTTAAAAAGCTAATGAAAAAGCAGCAAAATCAGTGCTTCTCTTGTTGTCACAACGACCCTCACCTACTGTGAGATCATCAAGCTCTGGTACCACAGGAATAGTCCAGCCCATGGGGTTCAGGTGTGCAGTCAACTGGCCCATGGACACCAAAGGTTCCACACGAACAACCTAAAAAGCAAAAAAAAACCCAATTCCCCCCATGAAACTAAGTTCAGCACTAACAGTGACAAAATATGGCTAACTGGATTGTACTTCCATCTGCTATCAGAATTCAGAGACTTACTTTCCTAAGAGCACTACTAAAAATAGTCAAAACTGTTTAGTGATTCCTCCTCTGCCTCAACATCTTGTCGCTCAGTGCCCAAAACCATAAATCAATCTGGTCTTTTAGACTTCAGCACATAAAAGCTAAGCAATTCCATATGCTGGGTTTTTTTTAGATAGAATGATCCAAGCACACATTATAAAACCTGAAATTCGGTGGGTCTCGTACAAAACCCCTTTGTTCTTCATGGCATCTAATCTCTTCAGATACAAATACAGTAACAAAAGCTGTGAACTTCATTACTGTGAAAGCTTTGCGATGACTTTGCTACCTGTCTTTCAGTGTCCACTTCCAGAACGTCCATTAAGTTGATCATGATGTTCTTATGAATCTTCTTATACTTTCCAACGCGAAGCGATACAGTCAACCAGCCAGGCCGGCCAGTGCACATGTATCTTTTGCTGCCTTCATTTTTCCACTCCCGAACCTGCAAGAGGTAACAACCACACTGACACTGTAAGGCATAAACACGTCGTCAATAACGTACGCCAGAAACATTTTTCCCTCGCTGTGACAAAGCGTTCAGAAATGTCGTTACCCCTCTACATGTGTGCTACCTCCAAGTAACAAACCTGGATGTCTTTATGTCAAGTAACGACGTTTCGGAAGTCTCCCTGCAGACCTCTGAACTTCTAAATAAAATCCCACCAGAGGGGTGCACGTAGAGGAAGCATTTCTAATACTCCATAACTTTGGGGTTTTTTATGGAGATGGGATTCAGAAAACTAGAATGCAAGTTTGAAAAGTCCACAGGAAAAACTACACTTGAAGGGAAGTATTATCACTGTCATAAATCATGTCAGTTCCATGAAGGTTAACAAAACACAGCCTCCTCCTAAAACCACCAAAATTAGGTCTGAACCTGCAAATGAACAGGCAAAGAGAGGAGTTGAGAAAGAGAACGTGTAAGCCATACGCGTGATCCACAGATTCTGCGAAGCCGCAGTGGTTAACAGTTGGAGAACAAACGTCAATTGTAGCGTTTTCTTCAAAGCTTAACTGCTACTACAGCTGGTGATAACCAACCCCAACCCCTCCAAGAATAACGCCGTGCCCATTAACATCCCTCTGTATCTGCAATGAACATGACAATCACGGAAGGAAAGAGCTGCAGACGTGACAGGATTACCATAAATACTAGGGAGCACACAGGCGTTGACATCTGCATTTCCGGCTGGATGAAAAGTTTTGGCTAATTACCTCTTGGAACCAAGGGCGCCGAGGAGCAGGGTGCAGGTGGCATTACAGCACGGCATTAAGCCGACGACGCAAAGACCCTCAGTTATTTTTCTGTCACACACAGGGGCGTGCAGGGATGCACCGCTCCGAGGATGTTACGCTGACAGCAGCCGCACCTGCGCCGCCAGCTGCTGCCGCCGCAACTTCACCTGCGAAAGGAGTTGCCGACGGGGGAAAAATAAAACCCACCCACGGGGCAGAGAGAGAAACCCGACCGATTTTTCCCGCTCCCGATTCGGGGCTGGATGTCGCTCAGCTCCGGGAGCGGCGGCGGGAGAGGCCCGGCGCCAGGCCCCGGGGTGCACCGCGG